GTGTACGCGTGCGCATATATTTTGTATGTAAAAACTATTTAATATTTTTTTTATTTTCTTTAGACAAGATAATACAGTGGAAATATCGAGGAAAAATGGTATACCTTCATATTTGAAATTTTCAAAAAATGCACTTTTAATGTCTTTTGTTTCTGCTCTGGATGGTTATTATCGTCTAGCAGTTAAATGGACATTTAATTTATGTGGAGAGATTGTTACTCCTTCTTTGGAAAGATTACATAAATTAAAGTGTCATGGTCCAGTTGGGTATGATTTCATTTATTTTATTTATTATATTTACAATATAAAATTTTATAAAAAAAATATATGTATATAAAAATATTGTAAAATTAAATTTTATTTTAGGCAAGAATTTTCATATACAAAACTTCAACAAAAACGTGCTAATAAACCAGGTTCTTATCTACTTAGAGAAAGTGAAACAGAATATAATGTATATCATTTGGATATATGTAATAAGGGAGGAAAATTATTTTCAAGAAGAATAGAAGAAAAGATTCCAAATGAGTTCACTGTTACTGGGATTCCTAATCGATACAATTCATTGGTACAATGTGTCTCATCTTTTCAAGATTCTGAAGGACAGCCATATCTTTCAGAATGTTTACCACCGTCAGAATATGGTAATTTAAATAAGTTTTTGTTCTTTATTTTGTATTTTTATAACTGAAAATTTATTTTTTTATTTTATTTATAATTTATAGAATATTTTTATTGTTATAATTATTATATTATTGTAATAACACAAAATAATAAAAGTAAGAAAAAATTAATTTTTTTTAGATAAGTCATCACTATTACTTTGTGCTCCTGAAAATGCTGTTAGTGAAGTTGCAGCTGATGAAGAAATTGTTGCTTCAGTTTTAGAAACTGGCCCTCATTGTGTATCTCAAAATCAATTAGAAATTTATAAACCATTTTTAAAAACTATTAGAACTCAACAATATTCACCAACAACTCTTCACAGAGCGATTTGGAGATTAACTAAAGGAAAAAAATTAGAAGTTGCTCTTAAAATTTTAAAACAAGAAGAAGAAGCAAATTATACAAAAGAATTTTTGGAACTTGCTGGAAAATGGTCTCAATTACGTTCAGGTACTCTTGTAAGGTAAATAATATTTTAAAATATAAAATAAAGTAATTATAATATTATAGTTTTCTATATTTTTAAAAAATGTAAAGTAATGTAAAGATTAAAATATTTTAAATTATAATGTAAAAAAGAATATTAATAATGGTTCTAAAAAATATGAAAAAAGAAAGAAAGAAGTCAAAAATGTTTTGAATTTAATTTATTAGATTATTCATTATATTATATATATTATTATATTATTATGAAAATATTAAAATAGTAATTGTAAAATTTCAAAATGTATATTTTACAGAATTTTTAGTATTTTTTATTTCTTATCTAGTATTTACAACAAAAAATCTTATTATAATCAGTAAATAATCTTACAATCAAATTTTACTATATTATTATAATTATAATATATAGCTTAAGTTTCTTCAAAATTTTTATATAATAATCTAATATTGAATGAATAATCCAAATTAGTTTAATTTTTTGCTCTCATTTAATATATACTTATTATATATTGATACTAGAATAATTTGTATGTTCTAGTAGATTATATGGTTTAACAGTAACACCATCAATTGGAATGCTCTTGGAATTAGTACGACATGGTTCACTTGATGAATATTTACGTAGTTCTTCTTCTCAAACTATTAAAACTGTAGATATGGTAGAAGCAACAGCCTGTTTGGCCGCTGCTCTTTGGCATCTTGAAGAAAATGGTGTAGTTCATGGTAACATTAGATGCAATAAGCTATTAGTACATGCCCATACTAATAACAGTTTTGTAGTAAAATTAGCCGATCCAGGAATATTTGTATATACAGAAACGGATATTCATTGGTTACCTCCAGAGACTTATAATGATCCAGAATTGGCCAGACATAGTTTTCAAGCAGATATTTGGGCTGTTGGAACAACAATTTGGCAAATATTTGCTAGGTAAATCTTTTAAATAAATATTAATTTTTACGTTTTCATTATAATTTCAATTTAATATTATTGGTTTTAAAATATATATGTATTTATAATATATTTATAACAATCAATTTATCATAAATATTTCATAAATGATTTAATACAATTTTAATATATAAAAATAAAATTTAATATTACTTTTTTTCAGGGGAGATACATTACAAGAATTTTCAAATGTTACTATTGTAAAAAAACATTATGAAGCGGGAAAACGTTTGCCTATTCCAAATGGTTGTCCTACAGAAGTTTATCGATTGATGCTTGAATGTTGGGGGGATTCAAATGGTTCTAGAAAACAACCTCAAGCAATTACAAGAGATATAAATCAAATTCTATATCAAGTATATAATTCTCGTAGAAGTCATGCATATGCAACAGCTTTTCCAAAATTACTTAATTCTCAATTAAAAAAGTTTGAGCAAGGTAACTTTAATTCCAGTAATAATAAATCAATAAATAGTGAATCAAGAAGTAATAGTCTTCTTATGGATAATACCAGTCTTCCCTGGAATGATACTGATGATAGTAAGATATAATTCTCTTCTGTTATATTGTTTTAGCAAAATCTTTAAATTTATTTTAATTTTAGATTTACAAGGTTTACTCAATACCAATGATAACTATATAGATAGTATAGAAGATCTTTCTGCATATTTAGCAAGAAGAGATTCAGAAAATTGCTCGATCTCTCAAAATAACATTCCCAATATGAATTGTATTGAACATTCTACTCAAGCTTTATGGATAGGACATCCTAGTGATTTAGGCGAGGTAATAAAATAAATTTAATAAAAAACTGATCAATTTTTATTATTTATTTAACATTATTTAACAGCATATATTAGTAACATTTTATATAAATTTTTTTAGAAATTAATAGTTATAATTTTTTAAAAATTAATAGCTATAATAATATTTTTTAATAATAATAATAATTAAAAAAGAAAATGAATATATAATATTAATATAAAAATAGGTAATAGGAAGAAATGAATCTGGAACAGCAGAAGATTGTGGATCTGGAAGTAGCAATGGTTCTTTAGGTCAAATGCGAGGAATTTATGAATTAGATATTGATTGTAATGTAATTCTACAAGGTAAAATTGGTCAAGGCTTTTATGGAGAAGTTTATAGAGGCACATTAGAAAGAGAAAATGGAAAAGATATTGAACCACAACAAGTTGCTATAAAAAAATTAAAAAAAAAAAGAGCTCTTGAAACTGATATAAATGATTTTGAAAGAGAAATTACTATAATGAAGGTGATTATTTCAGAATTATTAATTAATTTATAATTTATTTTTTATATGACTAATAATTATATGACATATATGACATAAAGTTATATGAAATATATAACATAATATATTTTTTATATAATATAATAATTACAATAATAATTACAATATTGAAATTGCAATGAATATTAATTGCACATGAATGATTGTAGACTTTAAACCATCCAAATGTAGTAAAAATTCTCGGAGTAATATCAGAACCTGAAGTTTGCTTAGTAATGGAATATGTAAAACATGGTTCATTGCAAAGTTATTTAGCAATTCATAAACAAGAATTAACACATAGAAGACTATTGGGATTTGCTTTAGATATTGCAACAGGAATGGATTATTTAGGTAGTGAGGGTATTGTTCATAGAGATCTTGCTGCAAGAAATATTTTAGTTGCTGATGAAAATAAAGTTAAAATCAGTGATTTTGGATTAGCTCAAGTTATTGGAGAAAATGATTATTATATTTTACAAACTGACCGAAGTCTTCCTATTAAGTGGCAAGTATTATAAATTTAACGAAATTATATTTATAATATTTCTTACATATAATTTTCTTTTTTCTTTAAGGTATGCTCCAGAAAGTATTAGAGATGGAAAATTTTCTATTCGATCAGATGTGTGGTCTTTTGGTGTAACAATGTATGAAACATTTAGTTTTGGAGAAGAACCACGTTTACCTGGTCTTGATTCTAATACAGAGCGACTTCAAAATGAACAAGAAAAAGGAAGTACTGAATTATTAGCTGCATTAGAAAATGGTATTCGCCTTCCTTGTCCATTTACTTGTCCACAAGCAATTTATGTAAAACTTATGCATCCCTGTTGGAATTTAAAAAGTCATAAAAGACCAGATTTTGCAACACTTTGCAAAGATATTGAAGATCTTCTTACTCAATATTAAAAAATAAAAATAAAAAATATATTAATGAAAAGAATTATTTTATATAAAAAGTTAACTTTAATTATATAAAAATTTTTATAATTTTAATTTTAATAAAATTGCATAAAATTTCAATATATTTTCAATATTAAAAAATTAATGGACATTAAATAATACATATAACATTGATTCAATTTCAATAATTAAGTGCAATGTTACGAATTTAATTTAAATATTAAATTTACTATATTAATTTTGCTATAAATTGATATTGATGGACAAAAAGGATTAATATATTTTTGATGATTTTAATTTGTATTATATATTCAATTGACTTTTCGTCAAGAAATTACTTACTAGTTATATTATTAAATTAAACATGTAAATTTATGTATAATGTTTTAAAAGTTAAAATAATTAAAATAAAATTATATAAGATATGTATATACATACACACACACACACACACACACACATATATATATATATATAAAATTTTTTTGTAAAACAAATATAAAATTTATTTCGTAATCATAACATTTATCTATTATTTGCAAATATTTCCTATTTAATTATTAAATAATTTTAATTATTAAATAAATAATTAAAATTAAAAATATCATATTTTTTATATTTTCGAATACAACTGATGTTTCATAATTGAAATTTATATATGATATAAAAAAATTATGAATAAATTTATTTAATATTCAAAAATGTTAATATAATTACAAAAAATAAATAAAAACTTCCTTATATTTAATTTTTTATTTTATTTTCATAACCATGAAATGTATACATATAGATACAATTATGAATTTGAGTTAGCATTCGGTCCTCGACGACGACTATAAGTTTGTACAACATTAACAAATCTTCGGTTATACTGAATCCGTCTCTTAGCTCGGCCAGTTTTTTTTTTACTTTTTTCTTGCTTTTCTACCTATAATGAGAAAAAACAATAATTTAATAAATTTTTCAAAGAATAAATATTTCCTTTATGAAAAAAATTTCATGTATTATATTAAAATTTTATATTGCGTATATAAATAAAAATTCACCATTAAATATCTTAATCAAATTTTAATCAATATACAAATTAATTTTTTAGTTTTAGTAGTTTTAGTAAGAAATCAATAAAATTAATTGTAATAATCAATAAAATTAATTGTATGTAATAATTAACTGTAATGCAATATGATTATAACTGGTATAATTTAATTACCTTCGGCGTTTGAGCCTTCACTTTTCCAGCTCGAGCTAAAGATCCATGTACTTTACCTTAAATATTAAAATAATATTTTGTTTATATATAATATCAAAAATCTAAAATGTAAAATAAATAAATAAAACTAATAAAATATAAATTTAGAAGATTATAAGCTTTAAATTTATATTTAAAGCTTATAATAAAAAAATTATGAATAAAATTAAATAATGATAAAAAATTATAATTAAAATAAATCTTATGAAATATACAAAAATTCATTATAACTTACCACCAGGAAGAGAAACTGTTAACTCTAAAACATTTGATGTAAGATCTCTAACTAAACTATCATTTTGTAATAAAAAACCAGAACAATATAGATTAAAATCTATATTTGCAGCACCTTTTATTTCCACAATTTGTTTCTGAAAAGAATTATAAAAAATTTATATTATCATCTTATATTCAATTAATAAAATTTTTAAAATCTAATCTAATATGATTTATCAATATTATCATTTAGAAAGCAACATTTTATCTCTATAGACTTTTAAATATTTGTTAAATAAATAATAAAAAACATAAGTGAAAGTTATTATTTCACTTAAAAAAATAAGATTTTTTAATTATTTTATCCTATATATTATATTATTTTAAATTTTGAAATTTAATTTGATTTATAATTATTGACAAATATTGCGAATGGAAATCAAGATATATTTACTTGATTACCAGCTCATAAATTTGTCATTTAATATTGCGTTGTTGCTCCTTCCAGAGACATAAAGTTCTGACTCTGAATTATCATCAACGCAAACAACTAAATAAATATAACTAAATAAATATAATATTTATAACAATATAAATTATTTATGTATTTTTACAAAATAAAAATATTAACAAAATATTAATATAAAAATAATTTTTTAAATGAAAAATATTTATTATACCTTAAAATAATATAAAATATAAAATTTTTACTATACCTTTAAATCTGCAATGGTATCATTCTCGTGTGATTCAATCACAGTCGTGCGCTCTCCTCTAATGTGTAACTGCATTTTTGCTCTTTATATAAATAAAATAAATATTTCATAAAATTTCATAAAATATTTGAAAAAAAATATATACAATTTTTTTAAGCTTTTAAGATTAATAAAATTAATTTTATTATTTTTATATTTTATATTTATATTATTATTTTTAATTTTACTATTAATATTATTAAGTAAATTATAAAGGATTATAAATATATACGTAAATTTAAACTATTAAAAAAAATAATTAAAAAATTAAAGTAATTAAAAAAAATAAAATTTATATAAATAAACGTAAATATCTAGTAAAAATAAAAGTCTTTAAAAATAAGTAAAAAAAATATATAAAATCATATAAAGAATGAATGATTGACACGTGTCGTTAAAAAACCATATTTAATTTTAAAATAATCATTTTTTTTTAATATTTTAGATAATATCAAAAATAGTTATAAAAATATTTTATATTTATAAACTAAATATGTAGTAAAATTTAATATATTAGAAAATAAAAACGCGGAAAATTATACTTACACACGCTTAAAAGGATCTTGGTCAGCTTGGTCTTGAAGTTATTAACAGTTGTAGCAGAGTGACACGATGCGTCGCTTAGTTTTAGTAGAAACTTGATCACGTGATATATACTGATATATACTGTTTTGCTAACAATAGCAATAACAGTAAATATGACGTCACATATTCTTTTCCTGTAGAAATTCGCCATAAGGAAATTAAGCCACTTTTAGAAATAAGCGTATCGTTCTTATTTAATAATTCTGATTATAAATCTATAAATGATAATACAATTTATCGATAAAATAATTAATTGATTTTATTTTTATCTTAGATTTTTTATCTTATCCAGATTTTTTTTTTTATAAAAAATCTAAATTTTATTTAATAATAAAATTATTTAATATTATTTAATAATATATTATAAAAGAAAGTTATAATTGCAAAAATAAAAATATTAATTAAAACAATATAGTTAAATACAATATAATTAATAAAACACTATATTTTATTTAACAAATGTTAATTTTTCTATATCGATTAATTATTTTCATGAAAATGTATAATATTTAGAAATGTTTATTTTGGAAATTATTTATCAATCTTTTTCGAATACTTTGTTCTTATTTTAGAAAATTTAATGTCCTTTATTAATGTTTATTTTAAATATAAAATTCATAATATTTTAAGATTGAAAATTCAGTTACAATTTCTTTGGATTTTGATCACGTGATTTTGTTTACTTCGGACAACTTGATTTGTGATAGAGTATAGGGGTAAAATTCTCATACATGATAAAATTATTAATAATTTTTTATTAATATTGATTTTTTATTAATATTTATGTTTAAATATATAAAAATTTGAATATTTGTTAAAATATTATTAAATTTTTAAATTAAATTATTTATCCAATCAAATTTTGATTTATATTTTTCATATATATATCTATATATACACATATGTAATATGATATATTATTTAAATGTTGAGTGTATATGATAATTTTCATCTGGATACTAACCTTATATAAAATTTAAATTAGGACTAAATAATAAATTTTCATATTATTTATATATGAAATAATAAAAATAACAGTTTTATATTACTAACATAACAAGAATCGTAGATTCCATGGCATTTCCACTAAACGATCAAATTTATACAAAATCTTTTACACCTAGAGAATATCAAGTAAGAATTTTCTAAATTATTTTAAGAAAATATATTGCACATTTTATAGAAATAATGAATAAATTTAAATACTAAAAAATAAATTATTTTTAGGTAGAATTATTTTATGCTGCTAAAGATAAAGATATAATCGTTTGTTTAGGAAAAAATTATGAACAAACATTTCTTGTTATAAAATTAATTCAAGAATTTGCAACAAATAATAGAAGGTAATATTATTGTTACTTTTTTTTATAAAATATATAAAGTTTTAAACTATTTTTGTTATTTTATTAAATAGTTTTTAAAATTATTATATAATTTAGATTATTAAGTGAAGGAGGAAAACGATCACTATACATACTGACAGATGAAGAAAAATGTATCATAAAAGCAAGTTACATACAACAATTAACAGATTTAAAAGTATTGTTATGTGATACTTGTCCAACCGCAGAATTTATAGAAAAGTTTGAAATTTCTCATGTAAGAAACATTAATATATTACAAAAAATTTTTAATTAATTGTATATTAATAATATAATAGATATTCATTAACTTTTTCTATTTAAAAAAATTTTATTAGGTATTACTTACAACTTCAAAGACATGTGCACAATTATTAGCAGATAAAAAAATTTTACCTCATCAAATAAATCTAGTCATAGTTGATGAGTGCCATAAATCTATAAACAATAGCCAACTAAAATTTATTTTGCAAACTATTTTATCATGTAATAATGTTCCCAGAATCATTGGATTAGCTGTACCATTGTTTAATTTAACACAAGAACCTGGAAGATTAGGATTAGAAATAGAAAAAGTAGAAAATACATTTCAATGTGAAGTTGAAACAGCTAGTGATATATTATCTATATTACGGTATGTACATTTTAATATACAAAATATTACTTTAACATTTAAAATATATGAATTCATAAAAAAATATTGAATTTTATAAGATCTATTATTTTTATTAAACTTATAATTACAATAAAAGAAGAAAAATTATAAAGAAAATTTCATACTATTCGATTTTCTTTTCTGTATTTTTTTTTATTCATAATAAAATAAAAAATACAAGTTATATTTAAATTATACAATTCATCCTGCTTATTCTATTATATTAGTGTAATATTAAATTATTCTATGTATAATATTTTTATTTAAATAATGATTTTTTTTAAATAGGTATAGTCCTAAACCTAAAGAATATGTAGTAGAATATGCTAAAAGTGAGAAAGGAGAATTACATATTACTATTGAAAATCATATATTGCATGCTATTGAATTTCTACGTGATCATCGTTATGATCCAACTGAAATTTATAATGAAGAATTTTATGAAGATATTCAAAAAATACCAGATCCTACAGAGAAGCCATTTGAAATGATGCAAGATCTTTTACATATATTAGAAACTCTTGGACCATGGTGTGCAGATCGTGCTGCATTTGCTCTTTTAATTTTAACGGAAAAATTAAAAATAAAAACACCTTATGAAAGACATTACTTATTATTAAATATGATTGCATCTGTTTTTACAAAGATACGAGCTTTATGTGATAATGCATTTGAAGTTTTATCTGAAAAAGAAAAAATATATAAATATACTACTACAAAAGTTCATAGATTATTACAAATTTTGAAAACATATACACCATATTATACAAAACATATTAATAATACTGATAATAAAATAAATAATGAAAATATTTCTCGAAAATTTTCAACAAATAATAGGGATTCTATTAAAGATAAATTTATGCAATCTAAAAAATTAGATTGTAATTGGAAAAGTAGTGAGGAGAATTGCAAAAAACCACCTGTAGCACAACGACATATGCGTGGCATTACAGATCCTGATTTACTTTGTGGAGTAATTTTTGTAGATAAAGCATTTGTAGCAAAAGTCTTATTTTATTTATTAAATGAAATATCAATGCATGATGAAGAGTTACATTTTTTATCACCTCTTTATACAATTGAAAAAAATATTGATGATATTAGTTATTCAAAAGATTTAGAAATAGAACATAGAAAACAAGAAGAAGTTTTGAAAAGATTTAGAATACATGAATGTAATATACTAATTTCAACCTCAATTTTAGAAGAAGGTTTATCATTAATAAATATTATAATTATTAAATAATAATTTATTTTAATTAATTAATATTTTTCTAATAATTTATAATATATATATTAATATTCTATTTGCATTCTTTAGGTATAGATATTCCAAAATGTAACTTTGTAATGAGATATGATTTTCCAAAAACTTATCAATCCTATGTACAATGTAAAAGTCGTGCAAGAGCTCCAGATGCCCTGTATGTATTATTGGTATCACAAGAAATGTCAAAGGAGTACGTATGGCAATTAGCTCAATACCATTACATAGAAAAGGTATCAAATTATGACATATTATATTTTTTAATCATTTTAATTATTAATTTATGATAAAATTTAATGGAATATATGAACTGGATCTGATGTTTGATTAATAATTATATTATCTGCTCGATTTAATTTATTCATAAACTTCAGTGTGTACCAGTTTTAATATCAGCCATTTAATGTGGTTCATTACCTGTGTCCATCCCAGTCGAAAATTTTAATGGAAGAGCATCAATCTATTTTGTAGACTTTGTTAGTAAAATGTTCTAATAACGAACCATCTGAAGAAGAAGAAAATGAAGCAGATATGTATGCTGCTATGATACCACATTATAAACCACTTGATGGAGGTGATGCACCTAAAGTTACTTTTAATTCTGCTATATCATTAGTAAACAGGTAATATAAAATAACAAAAAAAAAAAAAAATAAAAACATTTAATAGTTAATTTAAAAAATTATTTTATGTTACAAAATTTTATTTGTACAGATATTGTGCAAAATTACCTAGTGATACTTTTACAAGATTAACTCCAGAATGGTCCATTCAAGAAATGAATATTGATAATATACTTATGTATATATGTTCTTTACGACTTCCTATAAATTCTCCAGTAAAATATATTGTATCAGTAAGTGCTTTATTTTTATTTTTAAAGATTTAATTTTTTATTAAATTATTATTATTTTAGTCATATCCTATGCCTAATAAAGCTATGGCAAGACGAATGGCTGCTTTACAATTATGTATTGATTTACATAGAAAAAATGAAATAGATGATAATTTATTACCTATTGGGAAAGAAAATTTTAAAGCTAAACCAGAGGATGCAGAAGTGCCTGCTTTACCAGATGAAAGTAAAGTAGATTTTTCTGAAGCTCGACCAGGAACAACAAAACGACGACAATATTATTATAAAAAGGTTTTATCTATTTTAACATAAAAAATAATAATATATATTTTACAATATTTTTTCTCTTAATATCAAATTATTCTTTTTAGACAGCTGAGGCATTAACAGATTGTAGACCAATAATTGGAGTTCCTTCTTATTTATATCATATTAACTTAGTGTTAAGTTGTCCCTTACCTGAAGAACAAAATACTAGAGGAAGACGTATATATCCACCTGAAGAATCAGCTATTGGTTTTGGTATAATAACATTGAAAGAAATTCCTAAGGTATAAATGTTTTGATTAATATTATAATATTAATATATAAAATATAATTAATATTTAATTTTTTATTTTAGTTATGTCCATTTCCTATATATACTAGATCTGGAGAAGTTCATGTAAAATTGAAACTTACTAAACAGACTATAATTTTAAATGAAATGCAAGTAGAAAAAATTGCTACTTTTCTTAATTATACTTTTACAAATGTATTAAGATTACAACAATATTTGATGCTCTTTGATCCTAATGCTTCAGAAAATTCATATATGATTGTTCCTGTAAAATTAGGTAATTTTGAATACTTTTAGATATTATATTTCAATTTAAATTTAAATTGCAATTTAAATTG